TTTATATGGTTTCGTTATATATACATATGTGCCTACGTATAATATTAGGATATTTTTCAGAATTATCGCGTATTCTTGTTAGAATTCGATATACTGCAATATTCAAAAATACATAATCGATCCTTCTAAGTTATATCCTTCTATTTATATATCCGGCAATCTCATTTGTAAAGTGATGTACAGTAAATCCAATTTAGGATGTGAAGAGGATATCATAAACACGGGATGGCGCTTACGAAGCTTTTTATGCGGGATCTTATCTTATTGTAGAGATACTAAACACTAATTATAATAAATTAAAACCATTTTTTACCATTTTTATTTATTACATGATATTTAATTTATGCTGAATACACTTAATAAATGTACACATGTTTATTAATTGGAATAAGCTTTCAACAGATTTGAAAGAATAGTATTTTTCCATGACATCCTGCAGTTATCGGTTACAGCAGCGGTTCCCAACCTTTTTAGTAGCGCGGACCACCTATTTCGTTAAAAAATTCTATGAAGCCCACTAATAGTTTTATATATATACCTATATAATGTATATATACATTATATATATATACCTATATAATGTATATATACATCAGTTGTTACAAAAAATATAAAAAAAATAATTGTTTATCAAGAAAGAAAACTTCATTGGACCTGATTGTTCAACAATTTAATGTAATTTTTGGTATTGTTTGTCTCTCCTTCAGAGAGTTAATATCTAGATTAAAACTAGATGGTTTTAGTCTTAAATCGCTTTTAACATTCAGTTAATTTTTTAAAAAAATTAAAATAGAAAGAGCTCGTTCACATAGATAGTTCAATGAAAGATAGTCCATCAAGTTTCTAATCAATTTTCGATTGTTGGATAGTCTAACCAGAATGGTACAAATGGTATGTTTTTAAAAATACAATTGTAGAGTCTGATTACATGAAAGTTCAATCGACGAATCTTCTTCACTTGCTGATATTTATTATTTTAAATATATACTTTACTAATATTAATATTATTAATTAGTAAATTAATTATTAATAAATATTAATAAAATTATTAATAAAGTTAATGGCCCAGTATAACGCTGCTCGCGGCCCACGGATTGGGAACCGCTGGTCTTAAGTTTCGGTTTTCCACAATTTGTATAGTTGATAATCTCATAGTTTTTTCTAAAAATGGATCAAACCATTTGATCTTTCAATGTTTACTTATTGTTGAAATTTTTCTTAAAGTTTTTTCTTTTTCAACAAAATTTTCAAAAACGCATTTTTTTCAATTTTCAATCCATGTTTTTTAGATAAAATCCGTAACGAAGAGAGAAAAAATCGTATAAATGTTGCGTGAAATCACTACTACGCGGATTTTATCACATTTCTTAATCGCTATGCAGTTTTTATTGAAATATCAACCGTAATTTTTTTAACGTTCAAAGATCTGAAGTTGCTGAATCAGGACTCAAACAAATCCGTGTATTAATCGTATTTAGCCAGTATGTCTTTTAACAAGGTTTTATTGTACATTAATAATTTTTACTTGCACAGCGTAACACATCATTTTACTATCATATATTATGAGGCGTTTTTTGTGCTGCAATTGTTATTCTTGTGACGTGAACCGGCTGTATACTCGTATACTTAAAATATACTTGCATAATCGAATCGCTGCTGCAATTCCATTATTATGTGTATTTTATATATTATTATACGCGCAGTGCCTTTGACACATAATATTATTATTTATATTATGTACATTTACCCGTACCATGCCGCTTTGTTAATTAAATCCCATTCAAAATTCCACCGCGGCCGCAGTATTTAAATATGGGCGCACCCGTTTTCCGTTTTTACGTATGCACATTGACACTGCACACATGTACGTACGATGCCATAAGGTAAAACGCGATAATAATAATAACGTAGGTATATACACGTGTATTCACTGTTATATATATGTGAATGTGTGTGTAAGCTCTGTACACAGGGCTAGAAACTCATGGTTTACTGCAGTGGGCATCGTATTCATTTTAGATGATCTCCAAGATAATCCTTGTGGTTATGAATACAAAAGCATATCTTATATATAATATGTTACCGTGTAACTATAAGTATTATATTAAGTATAACCATGTATTACCATATTGCTTTTTTTCTGATTTTTAACGCTGGTTTCGAATACTTTTCATACCCAGCTATAAGATTTTAGTAACGGATTAACATTATTTACATATTAAGATATTAACACATTTTTAGAGAAAAAATATTCATAAATAAACGTATTTTTATTTATATTTTACCGGGATATTACAAGATGAAGTAGTTCGTCGATTGAATGTCTATACATTTATTTGAATTCATGATTTACTTACCAAAGAAAACCTAATGATATTTTTAAAGTTATAATAGGTGTAAACATTATGTACTTTTAGTTAATATTATTAAAGTGTTATTTTATTATTTTTATTTTTGACTACCATTAAGTTTTTATCATAGCACATATTATCGGATTTAAGGAGAAATAATAAATTGCACAACTTTGAGTACCAATACATTAAGTGTGCACTTTTTTTTTATTTAAACAATTAATTGACTTTCTTACGCAGTGCATATGATACTGAGTACCATTTATCCTAACAAAATTGAATATTTTTATTTTTTATTCATTTTATCATTAGCCAAAACATGAGAGTGAAATGATTACGTTTAACTAATCAAGTAAAAAGTTCCAGTGGAAAGACGAAATGACCAGTTCTCTTATGAACCGAGTGCATTAAGTTAAATTTTATCAATTTTTGCCTTTCAATAGAAATGCCTCGAAAAAATACTGAAATGTAACGCGCACAGATATTGCCGGTAATATACATTTTTATTAGGATATTATGTGGCACGCAATCGTCGACGGGTTTGTGGTATAATATAATAGTCGACTAAGTTGGTATTCTGAATTCAGTTTGGTCGACACTGAACGATGACCTTAACCGGGTTTCCGGTTCCTCGGTAGTTCGAAGACCATTCATTACTAGGTACGTGCACGCTGTTCCACTAATATTCTGTATAATACGGATATACTATATTATTATATTGTTATTGTTTCATGTAGGTGTACATAAAACACACACACACGCTTTTCGTATGTTTACGAGTGGAAAATCTAAGCAGAATAAACATAATATGAACAGGGCGTTCAAAGTTTTTAATATAGGCATATGATAAAAAAAACACAGGGAAACATACGCGGTGAAAGTTTCCAAACTTTTTTATTCTGTCAACTATGTACATAATACGTATTGTTGCGCACATTATAGGTATTTTTGGTTAGGTATGGTACTGCGACGACGTTTCACACACATTTCATATTTTACTATCAATACTATACATATGTACCTACGACGCGTGCGCGTGTGATTTTCAGTGCCGTAGGTATACATAGACACGTACGCACACAATGTTAATATGTTACGAAACGAATTGACAATGCTTCGTAGGTATGCGAAACTTATAATTATTACCTATGAGATTGTATCGAAAGTATAGTCAATTTAAATGTAAATTTTAAACCGTATTAAGTTTTTAGACTTGTCATATATTTGTTCTCATTTAACAACAAAAACACATTACGTGCGTTAGGTTAGGTTAGGTTGCGTTAACTAACGTACCTAGGTATATACCGTAATTGTGTACGCAATATCGCAATATTAATAAATACACGTGTAGTTCCCATTGACGTCCTTCGTGTTTTTCGATGTATTTATAGATTTTAGAAATCTATTGATTTCATTTTTTTTTTATTTACACAAAGATAGCGATGAACGAATGAATATGAAAATAAAAAAAAATATGAAGATTAATGAAGATAATGTTATATTTTTCAAAATAATCTAATCTTTCATAAATTCAACTGTTTAAAAATGGAAATTATATGAAAAAACTTGATCGAATAAGTCCAAAAAATTTTGAATATATTTGGAATCAACTAAACAACTTTAAATTAAATTATCACTCACCGTAATGAAGTATACACAATTCATTATGTAATAGTACTCAATAAAAACTAAAATTCAGCTACTGTATATTTTTAATGTATCTACTCAAAGTAATATTTATGTTTGTTTTTTATTTTACTTTTAATTGTTTTATAAATATGCATATTATACTGTATCTAATTCAGAGTGTTATTTATTGTTGTTTAATCCAATAATTGAATACATTTTTTAAATTTTTACGACGTAACTAAACTCCGAATATCTCATATTTCTTTTCCTTGGTTTCTCATATCTCGCATACTTAAATATTCAGAAATATTATTATATTGTTAATCCCCAACATATTTTATAAACTTAAAACATTTTATCATAATCTATCGTAGTTTCGTGGTTTTTATTAAAATTAATAACACAAATATACAGGAGATAATATGATGACATGAGAAAGTCTAGTTAGTAAGGCTTGTGGGTGAAGCAAGATGAACCTTTTGCGCCAAAAATCCCTACAGAATAATATGTATGTATATATTATTTTTACAGAAGTTTTAAGATATTAAATGTACCCTATATACTATTATATATATATTGTATTTGGATATTATAGAGCTGATTTAAATACTCTCAGGTCTGATACTTTTTTTCAAGAATAAAATTTCACTTGACAAAAATTATTTGAATAGAATAATGAATATTTGTATTTAGAAAGTAAAAAAAATGATGTAAGTACTCCGCAAAAGGGTAAACGAATAATTTATTTTTATTTTTGTAAATCTATTTTAACATTTTTAAATTTACGATATATTTATATATTTATTTATACTCGTATATTTCAATTTGTTTATGTAGCATACACATGCAGGTTTTCAAAGTTAAACCCGGGTTGTTGAATTCTCATCCAATTTCAAAATAAAACAATGCTAGGACTTTTGAAATATTGTTTAGTGTTTTCACGAAAAATTTGTAAATTCATTACAAATTAACTGGCGTTACAAAAATCAATAGTATAAACGAATTGTGTATTTTGTACAGATTGCAATGGCTGGGATATTCTTTATGTCGTTCTTGGATAAGATGCGCTACAGCTGGAAAATATTTGACAACATTAACGCTTTTTGTTTTTTTTCAAACGGCGTCGCAGAGATACTTTTTTTCGACACTACAATCCAAAAACTACAATATACCCACAGACACATCGAGTAAATTTAATAAACATAACATTAAGAGAAACTACAGTAATTCTAATGAAATTTGTTTTTCTATGATCCAGATTGGCTGTGGCTTCTTAGTGGATTTGTCCATTTAACTTTTTCAACGTTTATCGGATATCGAGGAGGGAAGCGAAACAAGAGTTCGTGGATCGCATTTTTTGGCATTATACAAGGAATCTTGGCTGTCTTATTAGCCATAATCAACGCTTCCGATCATTACAGTTTCCAAAAGCCATCGGCTTTAGTATTGGCTACTTCGGGTACCTAATAGAAAAGCGTGTGAAAACAATACAGAGTGAAACAACTTTATGTGGGTATTAACACAAAACATTGAAATTTCATTTTAGAAACTCCATTGTGCGATTCCATTCATGGTGCTCACCTACAGGAATCATATGTTCCATTTCATTTGGTGAAAACCACAGTACTGTTTTTACTCCAAGTCAGCATGTCACTGGGAAGCACAGCCTTGTTGGCCCTTGGTCTTGGTCTACTTGACGAGTCGGTGGTTCCGACTAAAGTCCCGGCTTGCATAGGTGTCGTCATTGGTTCGTCATTGTTGGGACTCCAGACTGGGTTGATGGTCGGCAAATTCGCATTTAATGTGAACGTAGGGTCCAACTTTACTGGTGATATCGTATGGCTCGGTAAGTCACGAACGCAATAATATAAATGTGTTTCGCGTATACTAAAGTAATTCGTTTGATTGGATTCGCGCAGTTATCGGACTGATCCTGATCGCCGTATCATTCATCGTGGCCTTATTTCCCAACCGACTAGTCACAAGTCAAGTATCGACGTTAATACGCAACAGTCCGATTTATCGAAACAACAGATACGGTATGCTACGTTATTTTACATTAAGTGCGTCGGAAACGTTTAATATCCACTTTTTTGCACTTAAAAGATTTCAGAAGTACACTAGGAAGAATTTTCAGTAACAAATTAATTCTATCCAACATTGCCGCTATCGCTTTCGTGTATACGGTATTAATTAACATGCTATACGAAGAACCCAACTACATGGAATCGGTTTTCTTCGTACCCAAACACACTACTGATGCAACCGATCAGAACACGATAATCATTGGTGCGTAAACAAAACACCTGGTAGCAATAATTTTCCAGCATATTATATAAACGATTAATTAAACGGGCAGTAAATATAATTGCATTATTTTTTTTCCCCGTGAAAAGATTATTTCGAAATCGCGTTGATAATCAGTAACGGTCCAACACACACAATGTGTGCAATAATTATGCAATATGTTTATATTTTAGATTTTCTGAGATACCCTTTAGCAGCAGTTTGCGTGTTTCTATCTGGCGTATTGATATGCATTGCACAGCCAAGAGCTACGCTAATAGCTGCCTGGAATATTGGAATCATTTGTGTTGTGACTATATTGGTCTTCACTAGTATGTTCCTACGGTGTTCTAAACTAAGAGTGCATAATCAAATAATGTCCAAGTAAGATTATATATATTTGACAGCAAACAATAGTCAATAAGCTCTTATACATTGTATTTTTCTACGTTTCAAAAGAACTGAATTGAACGAGGTGTGCAATAAAGATTGCAATTGTCCGGAAAATCTACCCTTTGAACCCGTTTGTTCTTCCAACAGTCATATTGTGTATTATTCACCCTGCCACGCCGGTTGTAGAACTCAAGACTTATATTCTAGACAGGTACGTCCGATCAAATTTTTAAAAATAACTATTCAAAAATATTATGTTCGTATTGACTTGCTCCACAGGAATACGTAGGATGTGCTTGCGTCCCAACGGATTCCGCTAGTAAGCGTGCCTGTTATGATCACAACTGTCATCAAATGAACGTTGGATATCAATCTATTTCAGTATTAATATTTTCGTTGTTGGGAACGTGTATTGTAGGCACGATCATTTTACTATTGAGGTATAAAACCAATTTAAATATTTACTATCAAATAACGTGGTTTTAATATTTAATATTAATCGGTTTTACCTTGACGGTTTTATAGAAGCGTTGAACCTGACGATCGATCCACAGCTCTGGGGTTTGCAGTAACTTTCATTTGTTTAGTTGGTCACGTACCAGGAAAAATAGTATATATTTTTATTGGACGTATGTATAGAGATACTAAATATAATTATATAAAAGCTTATTGTAATCAACTTATTCCAATCTTTCAGATTTTACTTGCATTTTGTTCGACCACAATGATCAGTGTCGATTAAATGGTGCAGTGACGTTTTCTACTTACCTCAATTTGTTCAACATTTGTAAGTGGTCATGTTGTAATACAACTGGCTTGAGTATTACATTTTTTACATGGATTCTGTTCGTAGGTATACTAATGTCGGCTGCAGCACTCTATTCGTGTGTATGTTTAATGTCTAGACCCATGCAACCGTATGGCACTATGGATTCTGCGAAGAAATTTATTGTAAGCTCAGTATCAAGTCCGTTGAGTCCGTTAACTCCACCTGGATTTGAAGAACGCCCTCCCACGCCAACCAGAAGACCACCGAAAAGAAGACCATCCGATTTAACATTTTCTGAATCGAGCACAAACATTGATTTCACTAGGCATACTGACGATTATTCGCCCAGGAGTCCTGGGACTACGTTAAGAGAAGGCGGTGTATTGACTACATTATTGTAAACGTCTATTGAAATTACTTGTAAATACGAGTGAGAAATAGTTTTCTAAATTGCATATTCAATGGCTTATTGACTGTAGATATGATTACTGCCTCTGTAACGTGATTAGTAAAATCAAAATAAACTGCGCCATACTCATTAATTTACAATTGTATCTAGTCTAGGGTTTATAACTTTAAAATATAAAATGTGGTATTAATAATCTATATATTAAGCTTATTATGATTGTGTACCTTAAAAACGTATAAGAATAATACCTATTTTATGTTTTTTATATTAAATTTAATTAAATGTACGTATTAAAAATGAGAATAATTATAACTAATTTTCTTAATTACATAAAATCGAATATAGGCACTAAAAATCTATAATATCAAATGGAGTATTATGGTTGTGTATATTTGGATATCTTTAAATACATAAATATTGATTTAAAAATAAATAAACAAATAGTTTATATAAATTTATAAAAAATTTCATTGTATAGATAGGTACATTAAAATTATAACTTTTTGATGCCATCTAAATAATTTAGGTAATTATTACATTTCAATTATTTACTATAATTGAACAAAGTATTTCATGTTTAAATGATTAAATTTTAATTTTTACCTAGAGAAAACATTTTAGTTTTGAAAAATAAGACATTTAATTACATTATAATAATAATGTATGTACTATTTTATTGTTTCAATTTGTGTTCATATTATTTCATACATTTATATTTATATGTGTACTAAATTTATTATCATATTGTTTTTCTATATATTTTTAATAATTTTATTTGTGAATATGTTCCATTATTGTATCTATATCTGTTGAGTGTATAAAATAGATCAATAGTTTTAAACATCATACCATATATTTGTCAATCAAATTAAATTTTTAACTGTACTTTTTTAAAAAGTATCAATCAAAAAATCATAAACGTAATAATGTTAACTATTACCAATAATTGAATTAAATTTTTATTATAACTATTTTTATTGTTTTGTTATTTATTCATTTCTAATAATTCACTCAACTTTTATGGTTATTATTATTTATTAATATTAGGTATTTCTTAAATCATTATTAAAAATAAATGTATTTTAAACATTTATATAACACTTGTTAACTTTTTCTAAAACTGTTTATTTTATCACATTTATAATATATTCATAATAGTTATTAATACAAATTATTTGTGCAATCATAATAGATATACGAGATATGAAAAATTTATTTATGTTGTCAGTTTTATGAAATGTTAGTCAATAAATGCAATTTATTAATTTTATTTTTGTAATAAATAAAATATTTTGAATATTTAGATAGCTTATGGCCTGAAATACTAAATAATATTGTACACATTAGCTCTATAGGTAAGCAAGAGTAGCATACACAAGTATCATACCTTACTGCACTTCTAATAAACTTGTTACAGTTTACAAATGCAATATTTTACTAAAATTACTAAAATTGACTAAAACTGTCATCAAAATTGATAGTCTATGGCCTGCTTTAGGTATATTTTATTTTATTAATAAATGTTTCACAAATCATATGTTCATCAATGTTGTTTTTTTTAATGTTTAATCTATACTTATACTATATATATATTATTATTATATAGAGGTAAAGTTTTTGAGGTTGTAGGGTATAATTTATGGATCTATTTAACTGGTTTTGAAAATTATTGTACCAATAGAAAGTCACATTATTTTTGAGTGTCATGGGCTATATATTAACTTGAAAAATGAAAAAACACTTTTTGATAGAAGTTGAATTTGCAAAGTTATTTGGAGAAAAAAAAAATAATAAACGAAAACGTTTCTTACGAATGCTGTCTTAACGATAAGATATACATGATTGAGTTCTAGAGAGAAGTTGTAAAATCTGATAATATGTACCAAAAAGTCAGTGACGGCATAAGTCTAACTTTTATATTTAAGTCACAAAAAGTAGTTTTTTATATTAAAAAAAATAATTTAAATCATCAATGTTCTGCGCAAATTTTTTTTTATTGGCAAAAGTAAGACAATCCGGTAAAAATAGACTAGCCATTGCCTCTTCAGGGATTGCTGTAACTCAGTTAAATTATGGGAAAACAGCACACTCTACCTTTAAGCTATCACCCACTGACAGTATTATTGGATCAACAGTCAGTATGCTCCATACGTAAAAATGGACCACTTGGGAAACTTTTACAAGAAATATCTTTAAATATATGGAACGAATGTACCATAAATCATAGAGATCATGTTGAAGCAGTAAACCGAACGACTCCGCATCAACTACTGAGTCTTGAAGAAGGAAAAATTAGCTGTCCTAACACCAACAGTACTAGCGATGACATTAAACTTGATGATAGATTAGTTTACGTATAACATAGTGGTTTTTAATGATCTATATAATAAGCTTAATACAATTGTTTACCTTAAAAAATGTACCTATAAGAATAATACCTATTTGATGTTTTTATATTAAATTTCATTAAATGTGAGTATTAAAAAATGAAAATAATTATAACTAATTTTATTAATTACATAAAATCGAATATAGGCACTAAAAATCTAAAATATCAAATAGAGTATTGTGGTTGTGTATATTTGGATATCTTTAAATGCATAAATATTGATATATAAATAAATAAACAAATAGTTAATATACAGAAATAAATGAATAAATGAAAGCTAAACCGGTCTTACTTTACAAATATAATAATACTCCTGGATAAAATTTTATTTATTTCTATGTATAGACTATTTGTTTATTTATTTATATATTTATTTATGAATATTAACCATTTAACAGTTTTTTATTTTTATTTTATAAATATTATTAATGTATGAGAATTTCAGTTTTCCATGTGTGATACCATGGTTAACAGTTAATGAAATAAATGTGTTTGTTTTTAATATTAAAATAGTCTGCGTTGTATAAACTGTATTACTATTATTTATTTTTTTATGTATAAATTAATCATAAAATAATATATTTATACTCTTCATAATAAATTTATATTGAATTTCAATTATTAGCTATACTTATTCAAATAAATTTTATAAATATTTCATAATGTTTGGGTAATAAATATCTACGCATAATAACAACCAATTAAATTTAAATATAATTATTAGCGAATAAAAATTACCTATATTTAACGGTTATTTAATTAAAATAATAGTTTTGTTGTTTTCAATTACAACAAGATCAAATACATTGTAATGACAACTATTGTTGAAATATTAAATTTTTTACCTATCGTAACTAGTACCTAGCTGTAAGCTTTTATTTTATTTTGTTGAATAATTGTATTGGTTTAAATAATTTCTATGGAAACCATGATCACTATGCTTAGGTAAATATTTATAACTCTCATGTTAAGTCCAGTGATGCAGGAAATTAACTAATAAAAATAACTTAACTTATAACTTTGATTTTCATACCTTCGTTTTCTTTTATAATAAGTGCAGTATTGATATTTATTGAGTGTATCAACATGCAAAAGCATAATTTTTAATTCATTTTATTTTGTTCGTAATTATTAGTTTTTATTTATAATTAGTAAATAATTCGTAATCGATTTGAAATCACTATTGTCGACAGCTTATACTTTAAATTTATATTATTATAAAGGGTTAGTTTTACAAATTCAAGTTTAATAATCGATTATTCTCTTCTAGTTTAAAAATTATTAGTCTTGTTTTCTCACGATAATTATCTAGGACGGTCGATTAATGATTTTTTTTATTCATACAATTTTTAGTACAGGGGTCGTCAAACTTATGTCGGGAAAGAACCATTTTTCCAAAAGTTACAAAACCGTGATGTTCAATGAGCCGCATTTGTGTGAACATGTTTTTTTTTAGTCGTCATTCACTAACCCGCTCCTCAATAAGAAAATGTAGTTCAAGTCCCCATCCACTAGTTAGTGGATTAAAAAAAAGTAAACGAAGCGATCTTATAATGTTTAGGTCATTTATATTAAAGGACCGTATTCCGAAAAAATTGTTTAATAATACATGGCGTATTAGTATAATAAAAAAAGAAAATATTAAGGATATCCGAAAGAGCCGATTGCATCTTCGGAGCCGCAGGTTGCCGACCCCTGGCTTAGTATCAATTTCATAACAATTTAGTATTTTTTTATCGTCGTACACTGGTTATTGAATAACCGCATCGGTGTATCCTTGCCACGCGCGACAACCCTGATTATATTTTTAATCTATTTTTTACCATCAATAATAAATACACGATTTTCACTATTTTCTTAAATTCGCCCACCACAAACCTAACGAGTCTCCTGCTTGCGCATTACTTTCGTATACTCTTATACGACTGAGCCCTGCACCACCAGACAACTCAAAATCCGAAACTTTTATGTAAGTACGAGTTTCGTATCGTATCCGCTGCAGTTGTTGATAGTTGTTCACTATTAGCAGTGTGATGGTCTTTAGAAAAAAGTCCAATTCCATTTTTTCGATCAAAATACAGCGAGTATAAATTACTTCAATTACGACGAAGTTATGTATAAATTATATTTTAGCAGAAAAAAAAGTTCAATGGGTCTACCCCCTTCTCCTCTTCAAATTTAAGGTTTTAAATATTAATTATATACAAAAACTAATACTATATTCTTAAAAGTTGTAAAATAAACATATTTTACAGGTCAATTTTGTAATACGATTTTTACATATAACAATTCGAAGTATATAATACATAATATTATTATACCATACATCACATATGATATGTGATTTCTATCATATAATTATATTATATTATAATATAATATAATATAATTATATTATAATTATATTGATAAATATAATTTTCTGCTCGAATAATACCTACGTAGGTATTGAAAAAAAGCACAAGTTAAAATATTTAATCGCGTGGCAACCCAGTAACATTTTAGTGCATTTCACGCATTTCAATAGGTTGCTATTAAATAATTTGGTAAATCAATGAACACATTTATTGTGAAAAATAAAATATTTAATAATATATTGTTTTAATACACATACGAATCCTTATCGTGTAATACTGTGACCTAACCTAATCCAGAAGCTTGCGCGGTCCTATAAACAATTTTCTAGTAAAATAATTGAAACATTGTGCCTATGGGGTGTACTGTCAGTTGACAATTTCAAATGAAATAATTCAACGGTCAACAATGAACGTATACATTATATCGTGAAATTATACAAAGATTTGGAAAAATAAAGTATTTTGGTGATTCGGTGCTCCACCGTGCCAGAATGAAAAAATAATAACTAAATTCAAAACTTAATATTATTATTTTAATATTTGTTTTTATTTTATGAAACCAG